CCCCCCCAGGCCTTCGACGTGATCTCCCTGTTCTTCTAAACGTTTCATTCAGTTGCAGGCAGGAGCAAGGTACTGGGAAGTGAAAACTTCCTTTCCTGAGAAACCACTTGGATGCTGTGGTTTGTGGGGGCAGGAGGTGGAAGGGGAGCCCCAATTTGCAATGGTAATTTTCTTTCCCTCTCCCTCCTGGCAGGCTTCAGAGAATGTTGCCAGCTGGCCGGTCTTTCGTTGCCATGAATACCAAGGACATCCCTCAGATTTTACAGCAGATCTTCACCTCCACCATGTTGTCCAGTATATAGGAAGCGCCCTTCGCCACCCAAGCCCGGCTTTGCAATCAGACGGGAGTGAAGCGCTCTGAAGAGGAGGCACAGTGGAGGAGCCCATGCATTGCCTGCGCAACTGACATTCCTGGCTCTTCCTGCACTTGCCCGGTCGTCAGAACTCAGGAGAGTACGAGAGGGAGGCTGTGCATGGGAATCTAAACCATTAATAGGCTTACAGATAATCAGAGGAAGCAAGGTGGCTGCATTTTATGAAAGGTGAGGGTTAAAGGAAGGTGGTTTGACACCCGTGGTGCTTAGTCGGTTTCCAAAAGCCTGAGGGAAAGAGATCGCCTAGCTTCTGCCTTAACACATCACCAGCCGCCCGAGAGAAGGAAAGTGACCCCAACACACGAAGCCCGGATGCCACGTTCTGACATTGAGATTCAAGTCTGCACAAACCCCCACAACCATTGCTGCCCAATAATTATTTTTCTTTTCTCCCCCACTTTGTGTTGCCCAGCGATCACGTGACAGTGTTAAACCCACTGAAAAGTCCTTCTAACAGCAGCGTTTTATAAAGGTTGGATTTTCTCAGTAATTCCATTTTCTTGGCCAAAACCAAAAGGAATCAAAAGACCCTTGGATTGCTTCCTTTCCCATGTGACTTTTTAAAGGGTTCTTGAAATAATAAAGAGCAAATGCCCTGTTCTCTGTGGGCCGGGAGAGGAAGGACAAAGGATGTCTGGCCTTGAGTTTCCCGTTTCTTCCTGTCCTGCCTCCTCTCAGAAGCTTGACACTACTCCCTCTGGTTTCCAAAATGCAGTGCTCAAAATAACAAATGCTTATGTTTTCACTTAAAGCAAAGTAAAAATAAGGCAGTATGTTTGGACTGAAGGATAACTGGAAATTTCTTTAGCTGCTAAAAAATATACTCTTTAAGCCTCATGATTTTTCTTTCAGTGTGGACCTTCCTGCCTCCCACCCCATCTTGGGCTGGCCTGTGTTTGTCAATAGGATCGATGTCACTGTGTTTACAATCAGATGCTCCAGCAGAGCTCAGTCTCTCTCCCACCTTATAATAAACGTCCCTCTTCACTATTGATGGCAAAGCCAGAAACACCGGGGCACCAGTGCGTGTGCCTCCCTATGATAAGTTGGAAAAACTAGTCTTGTTACTGTTATCTGATTTACCTATATATATAGTAGTGAAGTTGTACAGATCCATTTAATTTTATTTAATTAGAGGAAATGTAAAAAGATAACACCCCTTTGTTCCATCACCCCATCTCCCTATCAACTGTCAAAGAAATAAAAGCAGCCAGATTCCAACACAGTGTTACCAGTGAGCGTGGTGGCATGTCTTGTTTTTCCAGCCAGAGCCTGCTGTGTGTTCAATCATTTAATGATGCAAACAATCGCAATCCAGTAAGTACCTTTAAAAATGTAACTACATTAACAACAATAAGGATAAAAAAAGCACAGCAGCAGCTAACAGTTACTTACCGTGCACCAGGTGCGCTAAAGAATTTCATGCTGTGTCATTCAGTCCTCACAACAACGCGCAAAATAGGTACTTTCTACCTCCTTTTACCAGTAAGGAAATTGAGGCCCAGGAACTTAAGTCACTTTCCCAAAGGTACTCAGAAACGACCTGCACATACCCAGGCCCTCAGAGGAGGGTGCAGGGACCAAGGACGTGGGACACTGCTGGAGGGACACTTCTAGCCGCTCCTTCCTGGCACAGCAGCAGACTGAGGACGTTTCCATCCAAGTGGCAGCTTAACCCCCTGTGCCACAGGGTCACAGCCCCGAAAGCCTTTAGAAGTCCAACTCAAGAGCGACCGACAGGACAGCCTTTTAACAGACCTTCCCCATGTGTAACTCCCTGAGTGAGCAGAGCCTTCTTTTTTTTCAACATGGAAAGAATATTCTCAAGAAATTTAATTTACCTTTCCCCACTGGCCAGACATCCTTGGCAATTGTTATTTTAAAAAACAAACAACAAAAAACCCCATATAACTCCTGGCTTTTCTGATTTGTAGAAGGAAGGGTGATGGGGGAGGGAGAATGAGAAGATGGAGGGTTTTATTTTCACTCCCTGCAGTACCTAAGAAGTTTGTGCCTTTATTATTAAATGCACTAATTATGGGCCACTCCACACTGTTCCCAGGCCCCTCTAAGGGCCTGGATGTTATAATAAATGCATTGTGTGCCTCAGGGGGGTTCCACTGAAAGGCGTCTAACCCGGCTGGGCTCTGTAGTGAGCCCCTGTAATGCTGAGAAGGTTCATTGTTATCCGTGAGCAGCCAGGAGGAATGAATGCCATGAATGGCGCAGTATATGGTGTGTGCTCCCCCTGGAATCCTCTGTGTGCCCCGGCAAAATGACCTCATCCACGAGCAGCCCAGGAGCAGCCACAGAAGTGGATCAGAGCGGGAGTATTTGAGCCCATCACATGTTTGGAATGAATCATTTAATTCTTTACACTACACCCTTTCCTGTAAACTGTCAGAGGAGCAGAAATCCATCAATGCCCGCAAGACTGTCTCTAAACAAATTCTAGGGCTTTAAAGCCATTTAGAAGTGCTTTTCTGTAGACAGCATTGTCAGTGTTCCTGAAAAGTTGGCTCCAGAGGCTACAACCCTTCCTGCACCTGGCTTCTTCCTGTGCTGTCAGATCAACCAAAATTAAATTTCTCAGTGAACAGAGCAGAGGTAGATGACTAGGGGCACAAGAGCAATAGTCGCTTATTTATTGCATTTCTTTCTAATTTGTTTCTAACAATCACAATTTTAAGAGCTATTCCACAAATTCTAAGCTGATATCTCCCTGACTGGACAACTTTTTCTGGAATTGCATCTCAGGAATAGTCAAAAGTCCACTTGTATTTAGCATGTTGTACATAGCTTCTTCATCTTATTAAGAAATAAAATTTCCACTTTTTAACAATTACTCCAAGCAGTAACATGACTTTATTCAATTTTTAGATGAAGGGTCTCATTTACCACCAGTTCCTGGTCAGGGCTGTAGCGCAGAGTTCTTGCCTGTTGCCTTTCCTTCACCTTTTCTCTAGGACTCGCTGTGACGACAGTCCTACAGCTGCTGTAATGGAAAGGCATCCCAGGTGCCATCTTATAGAGGGGAGAGTTTACAAACTCTGGATGGAATTAATCAGAGAAAGGAATTTATAGATGCTCCTCAGCCATTAACTGGCTGTGCAAACGGGCTAATCACTGTGGGTCTCAGTTGCTTCAACTATGAATTTTTAAAGCCAATCAAAATGATCGGTAACCAAAGTTGCATGTTCCTATGTCTCACACAGTGAATTGACTTTGTCCCTCTTTGTGTTACAAGAACCACATCATTTCAGTGTATTTTTGTCTCCAGAACCCCCCCATATATTAGCCCCTGTTGTACAGGGGATTTTAGCACCTGTATCAGTTGCCCTAACACAAAATGCTACTGACTGGATGTGCATTCCAAAAGTTACAAAATCGTCATTAGAACTGGAAAAGAGGGGCTTTCCCTGGTCAACTGGGTAGATATTTTTATGGAAATTTCTGACCATTGTCTCTTACTTTGCTGCCTTAAAATAAAACTCCCTATCTGCTGATCTGCACAGTGGGATCAAAAAGGACAAGAAATTGGAAAACTACTGCATGCCCAGAGCTGACCTTTGTGCCGAGCTGAACAATGTACAATTGTGTGTGTGGAGTTTTTTAATTGTTAAATCCTGTAAACAGAAATCTCCTCCAGAGGGGGAAGTGCTTGCCGGCCACCCTCTCAGGCTGAGAATGACTGGGCGCGTGTCGAGACTCGGCGCTGTCTGGAGCTTTCACCTTCCAACAGAGCCGGCGTCTGCTCCTAGCCCTGCCTGCTGGCTTTGGAATGCCAGGCTTACATAATTTTAAATCGAGAGGTGCTTGTGGCATTTGGCCACTCAGAGCAAAGTAGAACACTCTTTTAAGGTGGTTTGGATCCAGAGGGCGTCAAGAACGACATGTTCTGCTCTAAGGAATCTCATCAAGGGGCATAACAACTCCAAGGAGCTGCCGTGCGTGGCCCTTCCCTCGACAGGCACCAGCCGCCCCCGGAGCCTTCCCTCTCTGCCCACAGGCTTCAGTGAAAGAGTTTTGGAGCCGCCAGCTCTTTCTCTAAAGGAACAATCAGTGCTTGGCTATAAACCCTGACCCCGAAGATGGCCCCAGAGGGTGTGACCCCAGAGGAGTTTCAGGATAGGATTTATTAAAGCTGTGTGCAACTCGGAAACGTTAGTAATGGCAGCTGGAGCTTGACCTGGAAATGGAAGGAACACTGTCTGTCTGAACATCCTGGGGCACGTTTGCCTCCTAACGTAGCCGGAATGTGGCAGGAAAATAATGAACTTGTCAAGAGAACTCTGGGTAATTGGTCTCGTTATGCCAAACTTGAAGCCTTATTAGTTGAAACAAAGAAAAAGGGTATATTTACTCAGGCAGGACATTAAAGTTGGAATTTCAAATGCAATGTATGTATATTAATAAATACTGATGCTAATGTAATGAGACTGGCCATTTCTTCATTCCAGCACTAATTAAGAAGTCTTTATCAGCCTCCAGGAATAGGGTGAGCCTCAGCAAAGCTAGTTGGTCCATTTCCTTTTACAGAAGATTTTCTGGCCCATATGAAATTCAGCCCTGAATACGCCGGCCCAGAAAGGAGTCCTTGCGGGGCCCGGTGGAAATCATAGCTGGGGAAGCAGCCTGTTGGCCAGTCTTGGCAGTGCCTCCCGGGGGCAGTTCCCACAGCACCTGGGGCTGGTGAGAAACCTGAGGGTCTGTGCAGCAAGGCAGGGCCCCCAGGTTCCAGGGTGTTATGCATAGAAAATAAAAAGAGCAGATGACCCAGGGTATCCAGGAAGGCCCAGGGCTCAGCTGATGGACACATGGGCTGGGAAATACAGCTGTTTATATTGCAGTTGATAAAGGGAGTCTTTTTCTGAAAAGTGTCCTTTAGGTCCCCAGTGCTTTTGAACAACTGTTTTCCAGGCTGATGGAATATGCACGTTCATGCATCGCAGGCTTAGGTACAAAGATCTGATATTCAATATGTAGTGCCCGAGCTAAATCTCTTTCTCTCTATGACCTTTCGTGGAAACTGGAAGAAACAGGAATGCTCTCTGCAGAGGTGGAAGATTGTAGCAGCTCCACAAAACCGCCTGAAAGCAGACATTCAGTCACTTGGCTGGAATACAGCTCCACACAGCTGGCCTGGCTCCTTGCCCCCTAACATCTGAAGTCTGTCTTTGGAGTGGTGTTTCTCAGCGAGAGGGGCTTCTCTTTTAAAATACAAATAGCCCTGAGAGGCTATCCATCATGCACATCTTGGTTTGAATTCCTTCATTCACATGCTTTCCTCCCAGCCCCAGCTGAGATGAAGGGCCTCAGACAGAGACTGTGACGGGGGAGAGGAGGTAGAAGCTGGGGGGTGGGGAGAGGTGCGTTTGCAGCTTGGAGCATCACCCAAGCAGAGGACTGGATCTGGGACACAGTGTGAGGGCACAGCTGGGCAAGTAGGGGGTGACATTCTTCCCTTGGGCGATGAAGCACTCACTGAAGGCTTTGTCAGGTGTGGCTGCGGAGTAGCTTGGTTCTCTTCAGTCTTGCTCTTCTAGAAACAATAGATTTTCACCTGTGCTGTGCCCTCCCTTTTCTGGAAGCTCTGCCTGACAGCTGGGTTATGCCAGGAGGTGTTTCCCCTGACAGGGATCAAAGGCCTTCACCCAAGGGGTAGGTTTCTCACCATTGGACACCTACCCACAGCCCCCGGGCCATGTCTCTGGAGAAGTGAACAAATTAGATACTTTTATTCCTAGTTTGGTTTGCCAAGGAAGGATTCCTGCCCTGTGCTGTTGGCCTTTTTTGTTTAATCTTCACCTGAGGACCTGCTAAGAGAGAAAGAGAGAAATATTAATTGGTTGCCTTCCCTACATGCCCCAGCTGGGGATCGAAACCGAAACCCTGGTATACGCCTTGACTGGGAATCAAACCAGCAACCTTTCGGTGCACAGGACGACACTCAACCAACTGAACCACTCCCCTGGGCTGCTGTGGGCCTTTTGAAAGAGAAGTTATACCCCCAGAGGCCGCAGCCTTTATTGGAAGCCTCCTCCCTCCCCTCCCCTGCAGCAGGGGCCTGGCCTGTGCCCCATTGGGCAGCACTCGGGTCACGGGAAGTTCTGTGGAAAGGGCCCTGGATCCCTGAGCTCCCTCCCGGTAAGGACCGAAATGAGTCACCTGAGCGCCTTCAGCGCAGAGTGTCCCTCCCACAGACCGGCGTGTGGAGTGCACTTCAGCGCCTCCTCCACCGGGAGTTCCTGAAGTGTCTGCCTCTCAGCCTGTAGAAAGCAGCTGTTACGTAACAGTTTCTAAAACCCTTAAGTATATTACCTTAACATTAAAAAAACCAAAAGGCAAAAAAACAAGAGCCTCTGAAAAATAAACGTGGCTTCTTAAAGAAAATAGCTCCTTTTTTTCCTTTAAAATGGTTCTCTCTTTTCTTCTAAGGAGAGCCAGACTTTTTATTGAGATATAATTGACATATGACATTATATTAGTTTCAGATGTACGGTGTATACAGTGCAGTGAGCACTGCAGACGTCTAGTTAGCATCCATCACAACAAACAGAAGGAGAACCAGTTTCGCGTCTCCCGATCCTTGCTCTGCCAGCGACCTCCCTCCCCTTCATTACTGCCACCCCCAGAGGCCTAAGGAAAGACCATGACATCAGTTTCCCTCTTCAACACCACGTCAGCTCCTCCCGGGCGATGTAATTTTCCTGTCATTTGGACATCATTAAATCAGACTGTCCCACCCAGGTCTGCCAGGAGGCCACATGGCCGTGACCCTGAAAATATTACAGAAGTCAGACGGCCAAGGGATGAGCACAGAGGCAGAGGGAAGATGGCGATGGGAAGGTTCGCCCCCCTTTCTGTGGTCAGACCCGTCCTGCACCGCACGGGGGGCCCCAAACGCCGCTGTGCGTGGCGCAGGCTTAGGGCCTGCGGGACCTGCCCCTACAAGCCCCACAACTTCGGGCAAGTTTCCTGGTCTCTCTGAGCATCAGTTTCCTCACCTCCAAGATGAGAAGAATAATCCTACACCTCAGAGTTCATGTGAAGAGCAGAACAAAATAATGAAAGCGCCTCATTAACGGAAAGTGCTATTCAGTTCAAGAGGCGTTTCGTCTTAGTATCAAGAAGGAAGCGGTCCTTCAGGAGGTGAGGGTCTATTTGAACAATTTTGTTTGGGGACAAAGACATCCTTTGGCTCATTCAAACACCTCAGAGTGGGTGCAGAGCCCGGGGCCGCCCCCCCCTCAGGGTGAATGAAGTGGGAACCAAATCCAGGGCAATAAAAGGCAGAGTGGCAGGAGGGACGGACAGACGATGGGAGGCTGCTCAGCTCCAGAAGTTCACCTCGCTCTAGGCGGTCAGAGCCCGGCCCTCCGACTCATTTGCAGACACCGTGTGATCATGAATTTGTTTCCAGATCAGAACTTTGTTGCTCGGGCTCTGCCGTCGCCTGTCTGGGCGAGCTGAGGCGAATGGCCTTTCTTAGAAGTGGCTCTGAGTAGTTTTCCCCATAGCCGTAGGCTTCCCCATGGAAGGCTGTGCACGCTGGGCTTTATAAAAATAAAGGCTGTCATGGAGGTCACCTGGGATGCTCCCTGCCTGCATCCCTTCCTCAAACCCAGGGGGGAGCCCCTGACTCAGCTACGCATTAAGATAACCCCCCGAACAATTGGTCCTTTAGTCAGCCCCCTCTGGGGGTGTCTAAGGAGCCTTAGAAGGCTAAGCCTGGGGTTCCGTGTATGGCATAAGCAGGGAAAATAATAAAAATTATTATTATTCAAAATAATAGCTAACTCCTATCTAGCACTGCCTGAGTGCCTGGCACTTCCTACACACTTAGGTAAATAAGCTGAAGTCCTCACGACAACTCCATAGGAAAGGCACTATTATTCCCGTTTTATTTAGAAAGCTACCAGAGAAGATAAAAGAAAAAGGCAGCTTGCTGGTTGAGGGGGAGAGAAGCTCACACAGAAGCCTGAAAAATCTAAGAACCTGGCCATGGTTCCGACTTTCCAAAGCCTTGTTGCAATTCCCTTTGGGGTTCAGATGCTCTCCCCTTCCTGGAGACCCATAACGTGCCCTGGTGTGCTCCCAGCATCCCCCTTTCCGCTACGCCAGCTGGGGAGGTGTGGCAGAATCGAGCCTCTTCACTGAACATCCCCACATAATCCTGTCCCCTGGCATTAGCTTGGGGCCATATGACTAGTTCTGGCCACCAGTTCTAGGCTGTGAGCAGAAGTGATATGTGTTAAAGAGGCTGAAGCATGTAAGAGCCAGTGTGCAACCCTCCAGCTTCCTGTGTCTGAACTGAGATGACGGAGAAAACAATGTGATTGAGATGTTGTAGCTCCAAGAAGGCGGAGCGTCTGTGAGCCTGGGCGGCGGCGCCCAGCAGAGGCTCCCACCAATTTGCACCGGCAACGTAGCATCAAGTGAGCAAGAAATACTCTGAGGTCTTCCGTCTGTGAGATTTCAGGTTAATTTTATACAAAAACATGACCACATAACTAATACAGGAGGTTCTGTTTGTTCTTTTCCTCATAGCCAAATATTTCCAGATTGAAACAAAGACCGAGATGTCAAAGTAAAATTTAAATCGAAGGAAACAGCTCCTTGCTGCTCAGCAGCTATTTAGTTCAAGGGCATATGGAGTCACACTGTGCAGGGTGCTCACAAGGCGAGAGAAGGCGTTAAGACCCTTCCCTGGGTGCTTACGTTCAGCAGCTGAGCAGACGGGACACATCCCTGTGATGTGGAGAAATAACTCCCAGCGGCTGTGACGCCAGCCTCCCAGGTCACTGGCGCAGTAGGAATAGTCATTGCTGCCGCGCTGTCTGATAATTGTCCCCACATCTGCCGGCCGTAGCGCGGAGAAAAGCAGAGACCAAGCCTTATTTGTCTTTGGCCTGACCCTGGAAAATTGGTCCATAGACTGGTCGAGTGGATAGCTGTGGGCTGCGGAGGAACCGTGGGCCGGAGGTGGAATTATGCTGGATCTCAAGGATGGGCAAGATTTCATGAACCAAGGGTAGTGGGGAATCCCAGGGGAAGAGTAGTTTGAGCAAAAAACGGAATTGGAATGTTCCAAAGGGTGGCTGAGGTGGCAGCCCTGCACGGCCTGTCCTCCCTGGCCTGGGCTGCCAGCGTCCAGCCGAGGATTTTAAAGCGAGGCCCAGCCCTAAGAAGCAGCCTTCTCCTCAGAGCCTCCCGGGTGGCCTTCTGGGCTCTCCAGCTGCTAACTCCAGCCCTGACTGACCGGGGCTGAGGCGGGAGGCCGCGGGCAGCCCCAGCCCTCCTGGAGCCCAGAGTAATGACCGCTCAGCACAGCAAACCTCATTACATGAGCCACTTCATGATGTGGCTGTTTTGGTTTGCTCTGCATTTTTTTTCTCCTTGAAAATGAGCTGAGAACCTTCTTTTACCCATGA